TTTTTATTCCTCGATCGGGTAAACTTTGGTATGGGGATTTGTGATTTTGTAGTTTACCGGTATTTGGTAAGTAATTTTTGATATTTTGATAACTTCGACAATTTTAGATGGTGGATTTTCAGGCATTTGTAGTTTTTGTGTAAATCGGGAAGTTTTTAAATTTTTAGAGTTCTATGTGTTTGTTGATTGAATTTAAATACAAATTTATGGTTAGGATGAATTAGTTTGGCTGATATTATTTGTAGGACTTGAGTTTATTTGGTAACAAATTAAAGATCAGATTTATTTGTATACGTTTGTTGGGGATTTTGTTGTTGCAATTTTTTCATTTTTGTTTATGACATTTTCACTGTATGATAATATGCGCAAAAATTATTTCAGCTTGAATATATACATCGGTTCAGGTGAAACCATTATAATGCTAAAAAAAATAAAACGATTTATTTCACCAGTATATTTCGCCTGACTTTCATTAATTTTAATTACAGTTTGCCAATTTATACATTCTTTGTTTATTGCAGCACATGTTCAGGTACACGGAAATGTCGACAAATAATAACTGATTTGGATTTCACTTAGTTTGGCAATTAGTGTATCGTTGTGACTCAAATAGTATCTGTTATGATATAAAGTGGTATCAAATGGAACTGTATGTTTAATTATTGCGATTAGTAGCTGGGGATTATAGGATAAAACTTTTCATTTGGCTTCTTTATTGGCTGTCCAAGGTTGAAGATGAGATGTCTGTTGATTTTTTTTTTTTTCTGGAGTATCTGTCGTTTGTGCTATAGCCGGCGGAAATGAAATGAAAATGTGTATTTTTGGTAGACTGAAAAGATGGGGTAGGATATTTGTCTGTTTTGTGATAGTAAATACTTTTTTTTAATTAAATGTCTGTTATTAAGAGCTGTTGTTATCAGTTATTTTTAAGATAATTCTTTATCCCTACTTTTTTGTGTCTGTGTAACTGCTGTTTAGATTTTATTTCATTACAGAAGAATGAAAGACTGTAGCTGGAGCATTGAGCGGTTCATGAGTACTGTTGTTATTGTTGCCTTCTGTTGTTATTGCCTGAACTGCTTGGATGTTGACAAACGGTCATGATTAACAGTAAAACTGTGCCAATTAAATTTCATTGAAAAAAAAGCCTTTTTTTGTTGGTCTTGTACACATCATAGTTCAAAAGTCTAAAACTTTTCTTTTTTGAACGGCTCCTGTGCCTCTACGGATATATACATAGGTAAAAATTAGAGGCATTTAAAAATATATTGTGGTATATACAGAAGAAAAAAAGCACAAAAACAACAAGACAGAATAAAAGAACGGGGAAAAAAATCCTTAATAAAACATTAATATTTAAGGCAATTACTGTCAAACAGACACCGCAGTGTTGTGCTTCAGGAGTTATTGGAAGCAGCAAGCAGCTGGATGACAGGTTTTGAAATGCAACAATTTCTGGTATTTCTAATATCTTATGAATGTCATGATAAGTAAAACCGAAAAAGAACAAGGGAACAGACGTAGGAACAAATATTCTGATGAGAATTTAGTTGTACAAAGACATTATTGGCAATACTGAGATCTGTTCAGATGGCAACTAAATCTTTTTTGATGGCCAAACCAAAGGAAAAAAGAAGTGCAAAAAATTAAGAAGATGAACTACTCTGCGGTTGTGTTTGCCGTTGTCTACGGAACACTGGTGGTCATCATTTGGTCACCGGATGTATTGCATTTCTACAGAAGCTATATTCAAAGTTTCTTTTGTTCTTTGGTTCACTATGGTTGCAAAAATCCAAAGTTTACAACGCCTGGTTGCCGTATCAGTAATGAATTTACACTTCCATAAGTATCAATTCTGTGGTACAATGAAACGATCAGTTAATTAACAACTGCTTTGTTTTAAAAAATATATATAGCAAATTTTAGCTTTTAACAAAGTAAAATAACAATGAAACAATGCTATAAACGCATTGTCACCCGTAAAAATAATTCATGCAAAAACAATAAGTATTATTATCTGCCTAGTAAGTCCATCCTCCCCCTCACCTATCCCTACCCTCACCTTTCCCCTACAAAAAAAGAGAAAAAAAGTAACACTTTGGAAACAATTTTAAAGCAGAATACAGTGAAAAGAAATTAAGTATTTTTTTTCATCATTACCCTGAAAATTAATAATACCCGTTCCATTGTGTTGTGTCATGTTGTCATCAAAAATTTCCGTGAAACAGCTGATAAGTTTTTGGTTTTGTCGTTATTGTTGTCATCGCCGTAGTTTTTTCCTTGACAGCAACAACGGTGTTAACGGTGCAACAATACCAGCTTCCAATGAGTACTTTTCGTCAGGCAAATAAGTCTCAGGCAACAGATTCTCGTAAACCTTCCAAATGTTTTGGTAGGCAACTTGAAGTGGTCCGTATTGTGTTGTTACTTTGATCCATCCAAAATTTTTGCGGACGTCCATGCCGAATGGGCAGTCTGTGGTCCAGTGAACCTATTGTTTCATCTTCTGTATATCGTTGATCTTCTAGAAAATTAATTTCTTGAAACCTCAACCCACTACCCAAGTGCTTCTAGGCACCGAACGCTGCAGTTTTCTCCCATCTTTTCTCCATTTAGTTTTTATTATTTATAATAAGGAAGCAGTTTAAACTTTTACCATAATTGGATGATAGTAGGTTGTTTTCGGACGAACTTTCCAGAACAGAATTACGATTTGGTCTTAGTCTGCTTTCCATTACCCAGGCTTTTGATTTTTGGTTTAACCCGTTAGAATTAATCTGTAAGTTGTTTCATTTTATTTCATTTTTGCTGAAGATAAGCAGCTAACCATCTAATAATTTCTCTTTATTTCAGTGTTTAGTAAAGACTAAACTAGCGACTTAAGCTTTTGCTCCCTTCATTCACTTACTTCAGCAGTAGGATTGGCTGATATAAAAATGTTGATCTCGGATCCCAGATATGACATATTTCGCCTGCCATTTGATTCCGTGGAACTAGTAGAACTTTCCGGTACAGTTACCGTTGATCGGCGTGAGTATCTAAAATGGGAGAGAGTCACTATGTTTTTTCATTAATTTTGTTCATAGGTTTATTTTTCAGTCATTATAATCTCCTTAAAACAGTCGAAATTTTTTTGGATGCTTTATTTTTCTTTTTGCTTACCTGCTGTTCAGACTGTAACTGTCTACTTCAGCTTTTGAAAGCCAAATCCACTCTTGCGAATTTTCGTCTTTACCACAGGAACTTGAAGTGCTCAACCGAGTAATTAACGGCAATACTAATTTCTCGTACCCTTCACTTAACGGCCGACGTCCCCATGGTCCTACTGCTCGAACAATACCCATGATGGCACTTACAACTACCAGTAGAACAACAATTTCTTGTATTGGCCATTTTGTTGGACCATGGCTGGGAACAGTTGTAACGGCAGTGGTGGACATCGTCGTTTCTGAAGATGCTTAAATTAAAATGTTGCACAGAATTCATAGCACTTTCATTACCGTGTGAATAGTGATGGCAAAGAAAACTGCACTCACGTTCTTCATCATATTCTAACACTTCTGCATCGCTGAATTGTACGTCGACAAGTGCCTGGTTATATGCTAATGGTGGCTTATCTTCATCTGCACAATTTTCTGCACTTCGAAGCTGTACTTTTATATACGCTCTTGAATTATCTCGTAATGCTATAGCTTCCAGTTTTTCATTTGCTTTATGAACAATAGCTACAGCTTGCGAATCCGTGGACCAAACATTGAGCACAAATTCATCTGTTGGTATATCGTTCAGATCGACCACTTGGTCGTCTGAGTAATGGACTTTGAAAAGCATAGATGCGTGCTAAATTTTAATTGTCTTGTTGACGCTGAAGAGCGTTAGACGTTATAACTTATTGCTGAATCTAATAAAGGTGTTAATGGGGTAACCTGATATTTGTGTTCAAGTCTGGACACAATTTGTGATGTTACTATTAGCTGACCAGTTCTTTCTGCCACATGTAGTACACCGAGTTTGATGTCAGCGACAATATCTGTACTGATAAGGGTAACGGAAACTGGGTCATCTGTGACCTAAATTAAATGTTATCTTTACATTGTTTTCTGTTAAAAGCCACTAAAATTGCGTTTCCGAGGCAATAAACATTCAATAGATATAAATTTTTTTATCTGAGGTAAATTTTAGGTGGTGCATTTGATTACGCAATTCAATTAAAATTTAATTACTGTAACTGCAGTACTGCCATAATCGATGTTCGGAGTATTTGAACGTACTGTTACTCTGGAATTGAAACTATTTTATGTCAATTTTGGTTTTAAAAAATTTTTTTTTAAAAGCTTTGTAAACATTGAATTTATATCGTAAATATTGCTGTTACTGTATATTGACGAAAATTTTATTGAACGTAGCCGTTCACATATCTGATTAATTTTTGACCTTGTTCGTCAAAAGAATAAATAAATGAATAAATAGACAACATATTTTTTTTATCAAAAAAAGGCAAAATTTGGACACAGACAGAAACGAATTACCGAGTAGCTCCAGTTGTTAAAGCGTTTAACAGGATTTTGGAACCCATTCTTTTTACTACAGCAACACTTGGATTGGTACTATGTACTTGATCAGCTGCCAGTGAAGTGACATCAAACAGCGTTTGTGATTGTCCAGCAAGATAGATACTTTCTCCAGTTTGTTCATCACGAACTTGAAAACTAGCTAACACTCGAATCTAGAATTATCATTATAAAAAAACAATTAAACAACAACTACAGAACATAAGGCTACTTAGGGTGCATTTTTTTAACAGTTCTATAGCTTTCAAAGATTGTTTTTCAAAACAGCTGTTTAGCAATTATCATAACTGTCACTGTTGGTCCGCAAAATGACTGCAAAAGTAGATTGCCTATAATTAACTTAATTACTTCGGTTTGTTGGAATCTGTATCCGCACCGAATTTGTTTAGCATCTTTTTTTCGTCGACTACCCGGCAGCCATTTCCATACAGCTTTTTGCCAATCTAAAAAATATTTTTCTTTATCCTTTTCATTGGAATTATATCAAAAGGTTAATAAAGTAAGTAATCTTTTGGTTTTTTAAACTGCTTTTTTTTTTTTTTTTTAGATTTAGCTTGTGCTAAATGCTAGAGTTAAGAGATGTAAAAAAAAAAATTTTTTTTTTTTTGAGTTACCTTTAATTCGGTTAAGCACTGGATCAGAAACCCAAACAGTAATTGGTAATTTTGGATACCAAACAGTAATTTTCAGCTGTGTGTACAGTTTACCGTAACTAATATTTACTTTGGCATCAGCTTGTCCTTTCATTTCTGAACTGAAAACTACAAATAAAATTGGTTGCTCTATGAACCTAAAGAAAAAAAAAAAGAAGAAATTGAAGGGTTATTAACAATTAACAATAAGTTTATTGATTGGAAAACCATAATTTTGTGGATTCGGATATTAACCAGTTAGAATATAAAAAATAGATGTAGATTATTTCTTTTAAACATTAAAATAGCAATATAATCATTTGACAGAAAATAACTGACGGTAATAAAATTTTCTCTTTTCTTTCTCATTCTTTTTCTTTTTTCATTTTTATTTTTTTAAACTGTTCTAATTACATTGTATAAAATTTTTTCTTATCTTTATAATAAAATGTTGCTTAGTGTGTGTGTGTCACAAATTTGTTGTCTAAACAACGACAATTAAATGCAAGAAGTGTTGGTTGGTTGTTAAAAATTACCCATCAACATAAAGTAGGCTACAGGTTGATGAAGTTTTTAGGATTCGACTTTCAGCACTAACACAGTGTGCTTTGGTTGTAATTTCCTCAATGTTGCTGCCTTCCGAAACCGTAAATACCCGAACACCTAAGGCCGATTGTTTTCGTGAAAAAACTGCTGTGTTTAACAGATTGGTATCCTACAAAATACAGCTATAATTCATCGTTTATCGTATTTTTTCTTTTTTTTTGGCATTTGATAAACTATGATTAAACAGTCGTAAATGATAAAAGTGATAAAAAACGTTTATCTGACACTGTTTACCGGTCGATGGTTATTGCTTAGGTTAAAAACTTTTTTGACAAACCTTTGTTAATGCGACTAATGCATATGGTTGATCAGCTACAATTGAAATTTTCATAGTTTTTCGTAATGCTAAAGTTTCCTGAAATATCATTTTAATTTGTTTTTCTTTTTTTTTTTTTTTGTGGTCATTCTACAATAAATATAAATTGTTTTAAAATTTGGGAAAAAAAATGCATATTATTTTCTGTGTTGTTATGTTATAATAATTTTACGTCTCATCTTTCGTCTTCATTTCTATTTTGCTTTTAGTTATTTGTTAATCTATTGGAAAATTGTCTAACTTCTTTTTGTTTTTTCTTTCCTTTTTTTTTTTTGCACGTTTGATATCGTTACTTGTCAAATAACAGTTGTTTTTCAAGCAATTAAAAAGCGGCTTGAAAAGAAATAAAATAAAATCTATAAAATAATTGATTTAAAAAAAAGACGTGTAAGAATTGTTGATATTAATAACAGAATTGTTGGTTTTTTCTTTTTGTAAGAGTTTGATAAAGAACTGCTTACATTAGACAATTCTAATTGTTGAGCATTGTATTGCCATAACCAACGGATTGGTAAACTATGATTCCATTTACTAAAACTGTCTTTAAGCTGTAACGATAGCGCAAGGATATAGCCCTCATATCTGAAACAGAAGTTATTGAGCGAAAATTGCTATATCTGTCAGTTTTAATTAGATACAGTTGAATTCTAGGAAGGCTTCCTATAAAACTGTTTTGCTAGTTGATACACAAAAAATTAAAAAAACAATAAGAAAAACAAAAACAAAAAAAAAAAGCAGCACAGATCACATTATTCATCTGTTAAGTAATTGAATTTTTGTTCTTTTGTTGTTATTATTACTTTTATTACCTTTCATTGGTGTAAAATCGGCGTCGACGACAGGTGATTACCGTATGATTGTCGGTACCAACTTTTGGTAGTATACCAATCTTCCAAATATGTGGGTCAGTTTCAGTAACTGATTGTAAAATAAAATGTGGATCTAACCATATTCTAAAAAAAACACTATTAGCTGTTTAGATCAACTTTCAACTATTCTTTTAGTCTGGAAAAAACAAAAAAAAGAAAAAAAAAAGACAAGACACATCTGATAATCAATGCTCGAAGAAATTTTTATATAATTAATTATCTAAAAAATTTTTTCTACTATAAACAATTTATTGAAACAACTAAATTAGTTGACTAATGAACAATTTTTTTTTTTGTC